TTCTGACATATTGACACATGCAGTGTTAGTGTAGTACCACTCTGGATTTACAAGTGACATCATGCAGGCCGTCATGTCATTTGTTATTCTTCCTTGCAGCTGTCAGACTACCTCACACCACTCATGTAATCTTCATCACCCCATCTTAGTTTGCAGACTAGTACAATCACCTCATGTAGCATGCTACACCAGCGTAAAACCCTCATGTAGACTTTCAGTTCAGGCTAAAATGACTCTTATGACATCATGTAGGTTGCTCAACCAGCCAAAATACCTCATGTACATGTCCTGACTAGCTAAAACCCCTCATTGTAAAGCTCTGGCCAGCTAAAATATCTCATTCCCTTGTTCCCCTGAAGCTAAAATCCCTTACCTTTGTGTATTTAAGAGGCTCTCCTCTCAGTTGTTTTTCCCCTCAGTTTAGTACCCACAAATCACATACCCCCTACCATTACATACCATACCATTACCATTACATACTGTAACAACCTTTACAACACCCAATAACAACCCTTACACTTGTAATACACACTAAACTCACTCTCATACTCTCAAAACCTCTTCTCTCACACAACCAAATTGCAATCAAACAACTTATTCTCAAACCAACCACCCCTATCACTTGATTAAAACTTGCCAAGCTGAGCTTGGTGGGTCTTGTTATCTGATAGTATAGAAGGGCAGAGTTTGCAACTCCATCATACCCTTCTCCATTCAGCAAAAGGGTTCTCACAACCACTTTTGAGTCTTACAAGGGAGTCCCCAACGTGATAGGGATTCTTTGTTTGATCGACATCGATTAACCAAATTTCAGCAAGAACAAGAAGCCATCGTCAAAGGATCACAACTTCTAGCGGCGAACGGATCAACTTTATCAACCTCATTTTGTATCACTCAACGGCATATCCAGTTATTCTGTTGACTAACCAGTTATCTTCATAACCCATTAAACAAAAACTACCATTAATCTCCTGAAAAAGAACACTTACTAACTTTGAATTAAACCATAAGAATTTTTACAAACCAGACCTGAAAAGAGTACCTCGAAGGAAACAGCCAGTTATATACCTTAAGAAGGGCAAAGAGACCTGAAGGATTTGGATAACTAGGATCCTGTTAGAAGAGATCTCCGGAAATATTTGAAGGAAGCAGCTGCTTATATCCCAGAAGAAAGGTAATAGAGACCTGAAGAATTTGGATAAGTAGATCCTGTTAGAAGAAGAAATTCCCAGTTACTGCTAAGTATTTTATATATATAAACCCCCCCAACTTGCCCTGGTGAAGACACCAGCGACCATAATTGTTTTGCTTTTCAGAAGACCAAATAGGAAAGTTTCAAAGGAATTCTATATCAAGAAAACCTGGAATAATCAACAGCAATCAACATGAACATACTGTTTGGTGTATCAGATATGGAAGAATTATTTGCTCCACGAACCAATTTTAGGAAACGACCTTTTACACCAACTTCAAATTTAAACCGGAATGCGGAAACTAAAATGTCATCAACAACACCATCACCACCTTGGATGAAGAACACGAAACTAGGAAATCTGAATTTAACAGTGCCACCTATATTCAGAACTGGAATCTTCAAGACTCAAGATACGGATGAACCAATTTGTCAACAACCAAAACAACAAAAACCAACTTATCAACAATCAACAAACCAACACAAACCAATTCTCATTGAGCAACCGGGACTTTTTTACGACGGATACCAATTCATGCAGTTCTTGAGGCAATACGAAAGGACAGCAGACGCACTTAATGCAACCAAATACGATCGAGCTCTACAGATTGGACGATTTGTGCGAACTGAAGAACTGAAGTGCCAAATTGAGGCCATGAACGGATACGAGGAATGCAAATGGGATACTCTGAAAGTCTCAATGATTGAAAGTTGGGGGGAATTTGACAATATAAATTCATACACAACCACCAATCTAGTCAACCTGGTAAAAGAATTTTCTAGGGATGATGAAATATTAAGCTACAAAGAATTTCAGATTTACCTTCAAAAGTTTTCAGAAATTCTTGATTATCTGGTTGAAAATGAAGATTTTAATAGTGAACAGGATGTCACACTCCTTTTCATCAGTGCATTTCCTCAACAGCTTAAGCAAAATATCAAACAGACTTTAATCAACAATGGTCAACTTCCACAAGCTCCTGATGGTTCCCGATCACCTCCACTTTTTAAACATGTAACTGAGGCGGCTGAAAGGGAGATCAAATTGGAAGAAGACTATTACAACTATTTACGTACCTTGGAAGTTCCTCTCAACCAATCACTAGAAGTCACACAATCAATATCAGACTTGGCAAAGGATCTGGATTCACTCAAACAACAAATTCTGGGGATACAATTGCCTGTTGAATGCAAAAATCCACAGCTGTTTGTCCCAACGGAACCAACAATGGATTACACGGAACCAATGACGTATTACACAGAACCAATGATGGATTATGCGGAACCAATGACGGATTACGTGGAACCAATAATTGAAACAGCAGCTACAACAATCAACCAACCGGATCTGGTGGAAGAATGGAAAGCAGCATCAGCAAACGTAATGGACACACCCATGGAACTTGCACATACAGTGATTGAAATACCAGAAATGGTGCTAGATGGACAGGATACGGAAAATTACGGGAAGCATGAAGAAATATTGGATCAATCTGTTCAACAAGTCAAGGAATTGGATCAGTCCACCCAGCTCAACAACAATTATGTGAAATTCCTCCTTACAGAAAATCCAGCAGAAGATCTGGAATTTCCTCAAGTCTCAAAATTCCTTTGGATTCAAAATGTCAACGCACACCAACCCGAAGCTCTTCAACAAACAACTTTTTAAACCTTACTTGGACGCATACGGATTATTTGAAGTTTTCAACAAAATTCCTCAACATCTTGAACACAAGACTACAGAACCTGAGGAAAATGAAGAAACCCTTGTGATTCCGCCGGCACTGGGTCCATCACATAATTCAACAACAATCAAAACTATACTGGAAACAGAAATTCAACTTGATTCAGTAGTGGAAGATTTGGTCATCAGTCTCTCTCACTTTATATCACCAAATATTTCACTTTTCAGATTTCAATTATTCAACAAACTCATTTTTCAACTACTCCTGAAGATTCCGCCAGACCGCTTTGGACAACTGTATACCACATTCAACATCCCAAGAATCCCTGTTGGAGTTGGTTAAAAATTTCTCAACAATTCTCTTTCCCTTTTTTTTTCCTTTTCTTATACTTACAAAAACATCAAAAAAAAAAAAAAAAAAAAAAAAAAAAAAAAATAGGCTACCTCCTGGGCATGAGGATAAACTGTTCAAACCTCAATTCAGAAACTCAGAGAACCTACAAAAAAAAAACTAACAAAAACCTTCATGAAAACATACCCAGATAAAAACCAGAATCAATCAATATAAAGTTGGGGGAGGAAACTCACCTGTACTTGGGAATATGGGGTTAAAAATTGCTCTCAAGCTGGGGGAGGAATCTTCCCATCTTATTTCCATCACCCTTCTTTCTTTTTTTTCTTCTCATTTGGACTTGAAAAGGATCCACGGCTAGCAAAGTTCCTCAACCGGTCTGTGGTGGCACCTCAAGCAAGAATCCAAACACAACAGGTGGAACCTACGTATGTGTCGAAGGACCGGCCTTGGCGACGGCGTTTGGCAGGTGGAAGGAATCTTGGGTCAAGCCTCATAGCTGCTCTCTGCAGTAACAAAAGAAGATGTTTTTGACCGAGGATCTTAACGGTCAATCCGATTCAAATATTCGAAGGAGTTGGAAGTTGTATTTTGTGAGGGATGTAGTGGTACCGGTTTTAAATTCTGCTGCATCGACCAACACAGAAGATATTCTCCTCGGATTCTATCAATCATTACAACCCCTTGCTACTACATATCTACATATGTTCAAGGGCCGCGGGCACTTGAACTCCGGTCTGGAACGGCGCACACGGCCTGGAGCACGGAGCGCAAGGCGCACGGGGATTGGAACGAGTATCAGAACCCCGAAACCCCCAATTGGAACTCGAGCACGACCTGGATAGGATTAAGTAATCTGCTACGGCTTCTACGACTACTCGACGTCACCTGCTGCGGACTGCGGACTGCGGACTGCGCATACTCTCTCATATAAAAAAATCTTACACCCCTCAACAATTTCCAAAGAAGGAGGGTTTTGTGGCCCATTTTTGGCTAACTAAGAAAAACTGAAAACACCCTGACCCCAGGTGGAAGTAAGAACAGCCTTATGCAGATTCTACACAGGATGATGCAACCCCAATGAAAACCCATTCAGCCACTTTCTTTTGTGGAATTGTCTGGGGACAGACAATAAGTTGGGGGAGGATGTGGTAGCTGAATGTGTAAAAATTCAAAGTTTTTTATTATTCTTTTTATCCCGCTTTTTTCCTCTACATACACTTGGAAATCACCTATTACGGCTCAAGAACTGGATTCTACGGTCAATTTCACCCTTGGTCACCACTGGAGGCATCACTGGAACTCAACTGGATTGGAAGTTACACCCTCTGGACTCTCACACCACTCACTTACACACCTCAACAACATGTCAACACTCAATCACCACCAACACATCAACAATACATATCACACACTATACATATGCACATTGCAGGACAACTACACTCTCTCACCAGCATAGTACATAAGTATACACACCACTCCACCATCTTCTGACATATTGACACATGCAGTGTTAGTGTAGTACCACTCTGGATTTACAAGTGACATCATGCAGGCCGTCATGTCATTTGTTATTCTTCCTTGCAGCTGTCAGACTATCTCACACCACTCATGTAATCTTCATCACCCCATCTTAGTTTGCAGACTAGTACAATCACCTCATGTAGCATGCTATACCAGCATAAAACCCTCATGTAGACTTTCAGTTCAGGCTAAAATGACTCTTATGACATCATGTAGGTTGCTCAACCAGCCAAAATACCTCATGTACATGTCCTGACTAGCTAAATCCCCTCATTGTAAAGCTCTGGCCAGCTAAAATCTCTCATTCTCTTGTTCCCCTGAAGCTAAAATCCCTCACCCTTGTGTATTTAAGGAGGCTCTCCTCCCAGTTGTTTTTCCCCTCAGTTTAGTACCCACAAATCACATACCCCCTACCATTACATACCATACCATTAACATTACATACTGTAACAACCCTTACAAACACCCTATAACAACCCTTACACTTGTAATACACACTAAACTCACTCTCATACTCTCAAAACCTCTTCTCTCATACAATTATACTGCGATCAAACAACTTATTCTCGAACCAACCACCCCTATCACTTGATTAAAACTTGCCAAGCTGAGCTTGGTGGGTCTTGTTATCTGATAGTATAGAAGGGCAGAGTTTGCAACTCCACCATACCCTTCTCCATTCAGCAAAAGGGTTCTCACAACCACTTTTGAGTCTTACAACGTCTGGCTTTTCGTCGGAGGGACTCCGCCTTGAGGGCAGAGACGATGCGAGCCGAGGTGACCGAACCCTCGTTCATCAAGGCGGAGACGCAGGGCAACCAGTCATCCGTCAAGGAGGTGAGTAGAGCGGTCGCGTGGATGTCGTCGACCGTGAGCGGCTTATCGGGCGTGACTAGGGACCCCAAACGTTCCGCGCAGACCGCCATCGACTCGATGTGAGAGTCGATTTCATCGCTGGAGAGGCGAGCAACGACGAGCTGTCGAAGCCAATGCATACGCCCACCGGAAGAAAAATCTTGATGGGCCTTGGAGAGAGAGTCCCACATAGCGGCGGCGTTGGTGCCGTGGGACCTAACGAAACGCAAGTTGCTGGGGTGAATCGTTCGGGCTATGAAGGACGAAACAGAGATGCTGTCCGCGGTCCAGGAAGGCGGACGGGATTTCGCATCGGCGACGGCAGTTGCGTCGGCGGTGGAGGCGGCTTGTCAGCCTCTGGGTAACTAACCTGAGTATTTAATAGTAAAAAGGTTGTTACTATGAGTTGACTGAAGTTTTTGAGCGTGGTGAGTGTTAGGTAGTGGGTGATTAATACCAGTCCTGTAAAGAGGAGGTTTCACTCTATCAGTATGGTCTTTACTGAGAGGCTTGCTATCAACAGCGCATCCGGATCAATACAAGGTATTAATAGGCATCCAGGGTACTAAGACTCACCTGGGATTGATTTGGTTATTCCCCAAAAGGGAATGGGCTAACAATACTTATTAAGCTTTAACAAAATTAGTTGAAGATTAACAGGTATTGTTGATGGGAATATTCAGCAAGGCTATGAATACTGTGGATAAGTTGAGTAAGAGTACTGAAGCTTAAGAACAATAAATGTAGACAAGATTTATGTTGGTTACGTGTACTGTATCAATATAAATGTTAACTGGTTTAACTGGTGTCTGAATATTCTGGGGATTAATCAGTGAAAGAGGCACGGATTATAAGTTCCAGAATACTGAAGGGGGGAAAGAATGAGCGCTCAGAGTCAAGGGAGCTTTGGCCAGGAGAATGAGCACATCAATTGAGTGACTGATCATTATTTGTCATGATCTGTAAGTGACATCATAATTGTGTACTAGTTGATCAATGTACTAGTTGCTCTTGATGAGTACTTAACAGATCCTCTAATAATGTAGTCATAATTGTGATCGGTGCATGTATTGAATGTATTAATTCTATTGACACTT